GTATATATTCAGTTAACGATTTAGGTGTTCTTCTGGACCCTAAACTTAAATTTGACTGCCACATAATGTCCACTGTTAACAAAGCCATGAGTGTTCCTGAATTTATAAAGCGTTGGTCAAAAGAATTTGATGACCCTTAGACTTTGGAGTCCACAATATCAAGTGCACATTGACCGTATTGAGTCGGTACAAAAAAAATTTCTTCTATTTGCCCTTCGTAGTTTGAACTGGGATCAAAACGTAAGGCTACCTTCCTACCAGAGTAGGTTACTGTTGCTTAATTTACCTACACTTGTAAATCGTAGAACAATGCTTGGTACTATTTTTATGCAAAATCTTATAAGAGGTGATATTGATTCTGCAGAACTTGTAAACCGCATAACTTTCAATGCTTCTGTTAGACTAACACGAAATTATATTCCTCTAAATTTTCCACGAAGTACATCAAATTTTTGACTGCACGAGCCCTTTCGCGTTCTATGTAATAATTATAACAACCTTTATCATTTAATTTGCATTTCAACTTCTATCCCGTTATTAAAAACTAATATTTTAACTCATTTGCTTTTCTCTTAATTGTGCCTTTTATTTTCACTTGTGTCTTGTCTCTATTTAATTTATGTATTTTCCTCGCGAACTCGCATTTTTTGCCCAAATTGATAATAGGGCCCGTGCGTAACAAGCACGTGCTTGGTGTAGTTGGGCCATTTGTTTGTACTGCTCGTAGTGCATCAACGTCCATCAGAATTAAAAAATTCCAGTGTGACCAGAATTTCGAGAGTTCATCAGATTTAAGCGTGCTACGGTCGTACTGTCAATCAGCTGGGTTTGTTGACAAGCAGTTAGAATTCAAATATCGTATTTGCGGGAAAGAGCCTTTAAAAGATATTAGCAAATACCTTGGCAAGACAAGTCTGCCGCTGTACAAAGAAATTAAAAAACAATACAATTTAAATTTATTTTTAATTTACTGATAAATTTTTGCTAATTTAAAGTTCATAGCTGCACTTTTATTGTGTTTTTTCGTACATTCGTGAGTAATGTATAATAACCAACTATACAGAAAAAATAGTAAATACAATAAAAAAAAGTACAATCAGAAATAAATACGAATTTTCCATTCCGGACAGATGTTCGATGCGAGGTAGACACAATTAATGACAAACCAATTTATTCAAGACAGTACCCATATTCACAATCAGTAAATGGGTTTGTGAATAAGGAAATAAGTACATATGTTTGTATGCTTGAATGCGAAATCATTAGACCCAGCAAAAGCCCTTATAATTCGCCTATCAAAGAAAGGTACTAATGAAGACGGCACCCCCAAAAACACAGACTCTGCATTGATTTTAGAAAATTAAACCTCAGCACAATTCCGGATAGATACCCCATGCAGAATCCGTCAGTTATTTTATCTAACCTAGGAAAGGCTAAATATTTTAGTACGATAGACTTAGAATTAGGTTTCCATCAAATCTTGATGAAAGAATCAGACGTAGAAAAAACTTCATTTTCCATTAACAACGGAAAATACGAATTCATAAGAATGTCATTCGGGCTTACAAATGCGCCCAGAATATTCCAGAGAGCAATGAACGACATACTTAGAGAACATATTGGAAAATTCTGCCATGTTTACATGGACGATATAATTATTTTTTCTCACTCCCTCAAAACACATTTAAATGACCTCAATTCGATAATTAACATTCTACACGAGCCCAATATGAAAATATCACTAGAAAAATCCAAATTTTTTAAAATAGAAACATCATTTCTAGGATATGTAGTATCACAAAACGTTATTAAAACCGACCCTCAAAAAATAGAAACCATATCGAAATATCAGAGAGCTGCGTAGCTTCCTGGGACTCACAGGATACTATAGAAAATTCGTAAAAAATTACTCGTCCATTGCCAAACCCCTAACCAGATTTCTAGAAGGCTCCAATGGAAAAATTTCAAAGAGAATGTCAAAAAATGTTTCAATTACTCTCGATGATTCTGCAATCCAGGCCATTAACGAACTAAAAGAACAACTAATTAGCTACATAGAACTAGTTTAACCAGATTACACAAAAAAATTTACATTAACAACAGACGCCTCTGATTTAGCTATAGGAGCAGTGCTCTCCCAAAACGGAAACCCAATTACCTTTATATCTAAGACACTCAAAGAAACCGAAAGAAATTACGCTACCAATAAAAACTAACTACTAACGATAGTTTGGGCACTAAAAAACTTAAGAAATTATTTATACGGAGTATCAGGACTAGAAATACATACGGACCATCAACCGCTCTCTTACGCTATTTCGGATAATTATAATTATATTAATTATAATAATTATATTAATTATATAGAAAGTTTTAACCCAAAAATTATATATAAGCCTAGTACTACTAATGTAGTAGCGGTTGCCCTTTCTAGAATCGAAATATATAATATAACAGAAGAAGAGAATGAAGAATCCACCGATTCTGGCATTCAACATTCAGCCGAAAGCAGCTTTGATAACATAATGAACGAAACAAAAAAAAACCCCTTAAGGGGTTATCCGGGTCTTGACACTTCAAAAAATTCATTTTTTTCAAACTTTTTTATATAATAGTACAAAGTATCAGGAATGTTGTCTGAAAATTTCAAGTCGATCGAAGCAAAAATGTAGGAATGGGAGAAATTTAAAGCCCAGCGCGTCGAACGTCACAACAGGCCATTCGGGCTCTGGCGTCGGGCAGATGCTGCACTTTAAACGCGTTTTTTTCAAAACCACTTTTTTGAAGTCGGTAGTCACGATTTCTCAAAAACTATTGCACCGATCAACTTCTGCTTTTGCACACTTCTTTTAGACATAATTCTCTTGTCCTTAACGGAGGGATTTTTTAAATTTTTAATTACAACTCATTTTATAAGCCAAAATATGACCAAAATTTACGTAAAAAAGAACACTTTTTATGAAAAGCGCTACAAAAAATTCAATTTTTAATTAAAAAAAAAAATGGCTCGTAGAGGACAAGCGAGACACACACACTATCAGAATAATTTTGGTTTTTTGATTTCAGATAAAAATTGACGGAGATATTTTGCCTACCGCAAGGGCACAATTTTTTAAGAGGTCAAGTTCAAGCCTGCCTCAACGGCTCAATTTTAAAAATTTTTGGTTCAAATTTTTACACAATGTTGGACAAACCATAAACATTAATGTACAATAAGCGAAATTTGTGAAATTGTCGTAAGATCTTTTAAAAAAATTCACGAAAATAGGCTTTGTTTCGTGCTCCAAGACCCGGATAACCCCTTAATCAATTTAAACAACAACTTCTAATAGCAAAAGGAAACTTTACAATACACGAACAAATCAATGTCATCGACAACAGAAGGCATATCATCGAATATGCCCAACCAGAAAACTTAATTACAATTCTAAAAGAATTTCTGCAACCGAATATTGGCACAGGAATCCACTGCATCCCTGAAGTTTTGTACGAAATTCAAATTCCACTAAAAGATAATTTTACAAATAAATTTCTATATACAAAAATGTTTGTTCAAGGTATAACAAATAATGAAGATAAAGCAATAATAACAGAGGAAACCCATTGTCGAGCTCACAGAGGATTAGATAAAAATTATAAAGAAATCAGTAGACTATACTATTGGCCAAACTTGTACAAAAAATTAAAAGAATATAATAATATAATAATATAATATATAATATATAATAATATAATAGGAATAAATACAACAGAAATCCAACACAAATCCTTATCGGAGAAGCTCCTATTTCAAAAATAGAATGTTAACATTTACATATTGATATTTATTACGCACAAAATCTAACGTTTTTAACTTGCATCGATTCATACTCTAAATACCTCGTTATAAAAGAAATTAGTAACAAAAAGAACATTGACTCAAGAGTATACGAATTACTTTAAACGTTTCCACTAGTAAAAACAATTAAGACAGATAACGAGCCGAGTTTCGTATCGGCACAGTTTAAATCCCTTTTACAACGTTCTGGAATATCAATTCATTATACAGACCCTAGACATAGCCTATCCAACGGACAAGTTGAAAGAGTTCATTCAACCTTAACAGAAATAGCTCGTTGTATTAAAGACGAGTACCGCCTCCTAGATTATTCTGAAATTATTATAAGAGCAGCCGAAAATTACAATTCACTCAGTGACAAACCATAAACCTTACGAGATCTTGTTTAATAAAATAAATCATAGCGACTTACCAGTCAAATTACAGATAGCACAAACTAAAATTTTAGATTATTAAAATAAAAATAAATTACAAAAAAATTATCACGTAGGAGAAGTAGATTCGGAGAAAGAAACAAACTAGGTCCAAGATTCAAAAAACAAGTCGTTCAGGAAAACAAAAAAGAGTTATTCATAAAGATAATATTAAATAATTCATCTCTTAAGCATAGTATCCAGATCGACAAAAACCGTACGCCAGTCATGAGAGAGAGCGAGAGGCAAACAGCTGGCGTTTACTTTTCGTGAAATTTTTTTTTGAACTAGGTCCCCAGTTCGAGGAAAAAAATAACAGAGTGGGATTTCGCCCCCTACATGGGCTTCCTGCCGGACTTATCCACGCAGAGGCAGTAGGTTCTGGCCAAAAATGTTGTAACATTATTCTAATATAATATATTTTTAACTGAATAACACAATCTTTGTTTTCGGAGAGTCTCGAGTCTCGGACGAGTCTCAAGACCCTATTGAAGTTGGGTTTTTGGAAGCGGAAATTTGCGACATGCTGGGCAACTTCCTGCGGCAACAACAAAAGGCTCTCCTTCCCACTCCTCCAAGGCCGGTATATGCTTACTGGGAGTCCATTCTAAGTACGTTTCCTCCGGAACGTGCTGCCGAAGTCGAAAGGAAGATGACCCAGGAGAAAGACGCCAGAAAATAATTCAATAAAAAGAAAAAAATTTAACATAGCAAAATAACTTTTATTGTTTTTTTAATTTCTTTGTACACCGGCAGACTCGTCTTGCCAAGGTACTTGAGAATATCCAGCACTTCCGTTTAAATATTCTTTAAGGTTGTTTCGAACCTCCTTACTGAAGTCTTGTGGGCGACCTCGTCGGCAGGGTCGCAAGTCGCAGATCCTTGCCACTATACGGCTTCATGATGCGCATCATCACCAACAATGTAATAAGGGGTTCGATGGCCGTTTATAACATTGTCCTCCGGAAAGGGCAGCTGGTCTAAGAGCAACTGTTTGCCAAGATCGCTGTGGGAGAGGGCATTCATGTCTCCCTCGCTACGAAAAGCCCCATATCAAAGTAGTTGAAGCGATAGTGAGCGTTGCAGATTGCCATAGGCACAATCGAATGAAAGCCCTACATTACAAACGATTTTGTTATTAAATTCTATTGGCTTTTAAAAAGTACTTACCTTTTAATTGTAAAAAAGGCTTCCGCTATTTGGCGGGCCTTTTATCGCCACATGCTTTCCGTCGACTGCTCCAATACAATTAGAAAAGTTCCATTCGTCTTTGAAGCCTTTAACCCACATCAGCATATTCCCCGTCGTCCACTTGGGGAATTCATCCCGCAAAGCAGTCCAAATGGCAATAGACACCTGGAGGAGAATCACTCCAAAATGTTGCTTACTGATCCGGCGTGGCAGGTCTCCAGAGGCAAGAAATCTAAATAAAAGGATACAAAATATAAATATATTGTTATCTAAGACTAAATATTTAAAATCTAATTACTCTAAAACGATGGCCAACTTGGCCTTTATTGGTATAGCATCTGGGCAAGTGTTCCGTTTCGGTATAAGGTACTGCTCCACCATTCCAAAAAGAGTGTTAAAAGTCTTCTGAGGCATATGAAAGTTTTCGAAAAACAAGTTTTGAAACTTTAAAATGATAAGAAAATATTTTTTAGTGCACGAATATTAATACATTATTGAACAGTATTACTTACGTCGGAAGCATATCGGCCTTAAAGGGCCCTTTCCTGCAGAAATGAACTCATCCAATATTTCCGCCGCTGTCCTTTGTCCTCTTCCTCTAATGCTACAATACACGCCGCCATGCTGACAACCAAAATCAAGCTTGTGTTTTTTGAACTCTACATTTTCGTTTAATTTAACTTTGTTTGGTTTTTTGTTTGTCAACAAACCCAGCTGATTGACAGTAAGACCGTAGTAAGCTCAGTTCGGATGAACTCTCGAAACTTTGGTCACACTGGAAAGATTAAAGTTTTTACGCTAGCATAATCGTTTGTCGATCTGGATACTAGGCTTTACAGACGATGGAAATCCCATTTGTCATCGCTATTTTAATAACTTTTTGCCACTCGGAAATTATTGACTACACTAACAACGAGTATTTACTACTTAAAAACGAAAACGATGTAATGAATTACGACTCCTTTGAGGACCTATTCCATATTACTAACTTAAGTTTTTACAAAGAAATAATTCAAATTGAAATAGTATTAGTAATAAAAGTCTGAATTCTGGGACATTGCACAAAATTTAAGCATTATTAAAATCCTCATTTCCCAACTATTACCATCTAGAAATAAAAGGGGTATTAACGAATTGGGAACAGTATGGAAGTGGCTATCAGGTACACCCGACCATGACGACTTAATAAGAATTGAAAATAAAATTAAGGAACTTACAGAAAACAATAACAAACAACTTACAATAAACTCACGAATATTTCAGGAAGTACAATTAATCACCAAAACCCTTGACTCAATCATTTTTAAAAAAGAAACAAAAGTAAGACAATGAAATTAATTACACTCGATATTCAAAATTTAATCGATACTATCACTTTAGCAAAAGTCGACGTTTTTAATACAAAAATTTTAAATGAAAAAGAAATAAAAGAAATCTTTAGCCACGAAAATAAACCAATTGTACTATCAGATTTACTAGACATTTCAACAATCAAAATAGTAAAAAACCAAGATTTACTTATAATATACATATATAAAATAACCAATAATTAATAATATTTGTAGTTTGTATACATCAATTGCCAAAATAATGGAAAATTAATAATAGACGATAAGACAGCGTATTGCAACGGAATATTTTATAAGATAACAAATTTAAAAAAAGAAATATTCAATAATTTTTGTAAAATTTCTAACGAGAGTTCCTGTTTTATAAATTTATTAAATGGAAAAAAAGCAAACTGTTCAAAAATTAAGGATAAAAATAAAAACTTTCAAAATTAAGATGATGGCGCCATTCTCCTCACCGGAGAAAACATTGTTAACGAGACAAAATTAAACGGCGCATTTCTGATTTTATTTAATAAAAACATCGTCATTAATAACGTAAAATACAGTAATGAAAAGCAAAAGATGTTAGAATACATAACACAATATAAATATAATAATTATATGATCACAGAATACATCTTCTCAAACGATTTAAAAATCGGAAATACAAAAATACCTCTAGAGCTAATATTGTTAATATTAATAATTACCTCCTTAATCATATACAAATCATCCAAAATCTTAAACAAAATAATACAACAAACAATTAACAACAAAATAATACAAAAAAACGCACCAAAACAAAAATAGAAATAGAAATTCCAGAACCCGAAAATACAATTGAAACCATTACAGAGAATGAACCCGAAAATAATATTGAAATAACATTTGCTGAACCTAACAATATAATCTGCTCCCTCGCAGCACACTTGTAATAAATAGGGACGATTCATCTTAGGAGGTGGAGAATTAACTATAACTTTAATTAAAGATTCTAATTAATATTGTAAACAATTTATTTTGGCAGAGCTTGCTACTGAGTTCTCACGGGTTCTTATCTTGTAAACATTCCCATCCTCGCAAACGGCGAGCCAAGCTTGATACATACGTAAACAAATTCCCCCTAGCTAGCCGCCAAAGGCGAGCCAAACTTTAGACTAAACATCCGTAAGAATCCCAACACCGCGAACCCTCTTTTTTAGGCATCGCGTTCGCTTCCAAATTTTCCATGCTGATCACAGCAATCTTAATCGGGAAATAACTTCGGAAACCAAGACTTCGGAAAATTACGAAGATAAACTTTAAAAGCTTCGATCCCGAGGCAACAAGGGAAGAGAACCAACTCAAGCTTGGGCAGTCGTGAATTAAGTCTAAGAATGATTGTATCCTAAGTCTAAGTGAAATTAATTGAATAAAGATTTTATTTTTTTACCAATTGCCCTGGACCACTGGAGAGCGTGTTCTGCCATTACACCTGTGCAAGGCCCAGCACCGGTATCGCCTGAGCTCATAGGCCCCGGACAACAGCAGCAGAGCTACAAGCGGGGGGGGGGCAACCAGCCCGATGATTTCTTCCGCAAAGAAGATAAATACGAGCCTTTTCCGTCTCCCTCTCGCTGCCGGTCTTCAGCAGTGGTTCGAACATTGAGTTTTCCTGACACAACGGCAGCCGTCCGAGTTTTCCTGACACAACGGCAGCCGAGAAATTTATATTCCTTCAATTCCAACAAATTTTCTATCTGTCTCCGCTTTGTGTGCGTAGCCATACTCCTTGCCGTTTTTTTTTCGTTCCCCGTTGTAAACCAACTTGTTAACGGTCAAGGCATATGTTCATCCAGGCATACACATACACGTGCGTGAGAACTTGTGTACATAGTGCAGTGCAATTCTGACTCCGAGTAAAAAGAAATACGACAAAAAGTGAAATTGTGTGGTGGAAAATAAAAAGGCATAACTAATATCAGCCACTCGGTGTGAACTACAATAATTTCGGGAGTTTCCCTGTTCGCCGAACAGTCCGCCGCTGTCGAGATATTTTTTTGTCTTGTGTTATTTTTCTCTCCACATAAATTCATCTGTTCTGTCACTTCAAATACAGTCATCTCCTCGACGCTCTATTGCACTATGGGGCCAACGACCACTTTTGTTGGCCAAAATTAATAACTCGCTCAATTTTAGAGATATCGAGATAAAACTTTACCGATTGATTTTTGGTATCCTTAGGCAACATATATGTTAAAAAGAATAGGATCGAACAAATATATCCCATTGCTGCCATACGATCGATTTAGTCAACTTTGTTATTTTTTAAGATAATCGAATAATTTTTTTTTTTTTTATTATATAACTTATAATTACATTTTTATTATATTTTCTTATATTTGTTATATCTGCTTCTGAATAGAATTCAAAATGCAAAACAAAATGTTCTTCGTTCCACAAAGGTTCAATGTAAATGCACAAAAATCGGATTAAACAAATTTTATTAATAAGTAAAAAAAATGGCTCCTGCTATTAAACGCCATGCTCTTCGGATTCTAGTTCAATATTTTATTGAAAATCAAAAGGATTTTTATATTCAATGCAACTACTGTTAGGGTTGTAAAACTTGAGGTTATGTGCTTAAAAATTAAATTTCGGAAAAAGTGGCAATAAGTGGCGATTCTAACCATATACATTTTAAAAAGAATTTAATACTCTACAAATCTCAATAGGTTTCAGAAGTGGACTCCGCTAGACTCACTTTATTACTCTACTTAAAAATTAGTTTTCTAATTAAAAAACACGTTTTAGACAACTCACTTTAACACTTAAGTACAAAGGCAGCACGATAGATTTCAACCATTTAAACACACAAACACTTAGTACACCTCACCATTCATCGAATTCATATCACAAACATTTTTTGGAACGCTTATAAACTGCTTTTTTAAATACTTTAAAGCCTAGTATCCAGATCGACAAACGATTACGCAAGCGTAAAAACTTTAATCTTTCCAGTGTGACCAAAAGTTTGAGGGTTCATCAGATTTAAGCGTGCTACGGTCGTACTGTCAATCAGCTGGGTTTGTTGACAAGCAGTTAAAATTCAAATATCGTATTTGCGGGAAAGAGCCTTTAAAAGATATTATCAAATACCTTGGCAAGACAAGTCTGCCGCTGTACAAAGAAATAAAAAAACAATACAATTTAAATTTAACAGTTCTTTTTTTTAATTTACTGATAATTATTTGCTAATTTAAAGTTCATAGCTGCACTTTTATTGTGTTTTTTCGTACATTCTGGACCTAAAAAACATTTTGCTCTGACAAGAGGCACCCCAGATAGTATTATTGTTATTTTGTCCTCACATGTAAACACCTGCAATCGACTTTTGTGAGTTTTTTGAGTTTTTTCCTCCATATCTTATAATGTTCAGTGAGAAGCGCACGCCAAAAGATTAAATTTTTTAATCTCAACGCTATGGAATTTTCTGGTATTTTTTCGTCGATCAGGGGACAGATCGAAAAGGCCCGACGAAAAGTGAACGCCAGCTGTTTGCCTCTCGCTCTCTCTCATGACAGGCGTTCGGTTTTCGTCGATCTAGATACTAGGCTTAAAAATGAAATTTAGAAGTCGAATTTCAAAAGTACGTGGCTTGCATCTTAAACATCTGATTTAACAGCTGTTATCTTAACAGAAGCGCACTCTATTGGAATTCCTGAAACGTAACATTGCAGATTGGTCTTCTGTTAATATATCCTAAAACAACTTTTTTGGTTTTGACGACTTATCTCTATATATAAAACTGTTCATTGAAAACTAAGAATCAACGCACAGCCTAAACTAATTAAATGACCCTATTAAAACTTTTTACCATTCAATTCTTATAACACTAAACTGATTTGCTAAGATTTATTTTGGCCACAAACATGCCCCCATTTTCTTCCAGTGGCAAAAAACCCCCAATTTCTATAAAAAAAATCTGGACGCTAAACACGTTAATCAATCGATGCGATTTTTGGCCAAAATTTAGTCCTCTACATAATAAAGATTCTATTTAATTTAATATTCGATATTTTAATGTTTACTATTTTTTATCGATCTTTGAAAATCTAAGAATCTTCCTCATTTTTTCCAAACGGCAAAAAAACACTGATCTAAGTCAATTAGCAATATGAAAATTTATCGAGGGAATCCTGATACTTTAAGGATTCATATGGTGGTTTTACTGAAGCTCTAGGTCAATTCTAAAAAAAGTTACATTAGCCTAAAGTAGGAATAATAATTCCAACAAATTATACACAAGCATTGAACACCGAATGCATTCTCTCGCACTGTCTCACTCTCTCTCTCTCTCTCTGACTCTGTGTAGTACAATAATTGTGCGGCGGCTGATCTTGATTTCTTTTTAAAACTTAAAATTAAAAACTTAAAACTGAATTAAACTTAACAATAAATTACAATTTAGCCAAAAATATCTTCAAACGTCGAAAAATGGCACTTCTAAACTGAGTATCAAAAATTCCTTCGGTAAAGTTTTTCCTTAAGCTTTAACGATTCATTTGATGGTTTCACCAAAGCTCTAGCTATCTTCTAAACAAAGAAACTAAGCAAAAAGTCGATCTTTTATCGAATTTAAGTGTCTCCATAAGCATCATACGTTTTCTGCCTGCATATTGCTATCTCTCTCTGCATTTTCATACAAATTGTCAACAAATGATTCCATCTCCCTCTCTCTCTCTCTGCCTTGAATTTCCGTACGCTTCCTTAAAAATATAAAATGAGCTTTAATACGGTTTTAATATCTGTAGGCATTAGTTTATAGTTATTGGTGACCCAAAAGATTGCAAAGACTTCAAAATGGTCATTAACGCTGATAAAAAGCCAGCAAATGCTCATAGAGGTCGTTATAATGCTCCTCAAACAAATGAAGTGGGTTTGGTATTAGTTGATCAACAATTTCCAAGTCGGGACATTTTTATTGAGAGTCATAATAGCAAAGTGAACTTTACCGATCTT